GGCTGGCTGGGGAATTCTGGGAGTTGAAGTCCACACAGTTTAAAGCAGCCTAGGCTGAGAAACACTGGCCTAGACTTTGAGAGGAACTTGCTAATCGTCTCAGAACATATGATGAACTTGCACCGAAGAATCTGGGAGCCACACACCAAGAGGAAGGACTTTTCAGTCAACATTTGATCTTCTGTTCTTGGAGGTCTGGAAGTTCATTTTTCTATTAGAGCTTCTAGCTGCTCTTGAAGAGACGCCAGCTGCAGAGCGAGAAGGAAAGATGGGAAGAGAAGAAAAACTACTGTTAAACAATGACATCTACAATCAGTCCCACCTTCCTCCTTCAAATCAAGATCCAAGGATCTTTCAATCAGTTCCCCTGATCTCTCTCTCTCTAGGGAGACAGTCTTTGCTATTATTCCGAAGCCGTGTTATAATCCCTTGCTCTCATTTTATAAAGGATGTTCCCGCTAGCTCCATAGTTTAATCACAAGTAGGCCTGAGTGGGAGAATGTGAATGGAAGCTTTTGTGCAAAGAGATTTATTTTGGGAACACAGCAATGAAAGGAATGGGAAGGGTCAAGCCATTCTCCATGGCCCCCCTCTGATTTGCTCCCCTCTGGGCAGGGCTATGTAGACGACAAAGACCATCTCCTCATGCATTTCTCAGCCAGCATCACAGTTAGTCTGAGTTGCTTAAAAAAAAAAAAGGATCCTTTCCAGAAAGCCCAGGAACAATTGTATTCAACTCTTGTTTATTTATTGTTCAGTGATGAGAAATGGGAAGAAAAGTTTCTTTTTTTTTTGTAATAGCAGAGAAGGTGTTAAATTACTGTAAATGCTTATACTTGTCGGGAGGGAGGGGGGAGTCATTTTTTATATGTCTTTCATGTTCTTTTTCTCCTTTTTCTTGTTCTCTTTCTTCTTTTTGTTGGTATATGTTTTCTAATTCTGTATTATCTTTTGATTGTGCAAATCTCTAATAAAATATTATGAAAAAAAAAAGAATACCAAAGTCAGCTCAACCAAGCAACGTTCACTTGTAACTATGAAACTGCTCTGATGGGTCGCCCACTCATATATGCAAAAAGGATGACAGCGACTGCCATTTTGGAGCCAGCAATTTACTCAGGAAATAGGAATCACTTAGTGTCCTGCCAATATTTCCTCAGGGTAGCCTGACAGGAAACGTAATGCTACTGTGTTTTGAACTTGCATCCCCAGTAAAGTTGTCGCACCGTGTGGGTTTCCAAAACTTGCTTCTTCAGCCTTGTTTCCACTTAGAATTTATAGAAATGACAGAAATCTTACCTGCTGCTTTTCTCGTTCTTCTTGCTGCTTGAACTCATCCAGCACAGCCTGGAGCCGGGTCTGGAAAATGAGACCGAGAGAAAAGTAGAGTCTCTTGCTGCAAGAATACTCTACTAAAATGCTTTTAAAGGCATTTGGATGTACCTCGGTCTGCCCCGGCCCTAGAGGAAGAGTCTACAAGCAAACTCCAGAGATACCACGTGCTACGAAGCAGAGCTAAAATTGCCCCAAAACAAAATGAAAAGAGCACAGTGCTAAATTTCTTCCCCCATCCAAGGAAGCTTAATTGCTTCTTTTGCTGACTGCTGGCTGGAAAATGAGTTTTAATTCATGTGGACTTTCTAGTTGCCTGGACCATAGGAAGCTGGGTTGTAACCAAGTCGCTTTGTCCATCGAGCCCTGTCTCTCTCAACCTTGGGGACTTCAAGATGAGTGGACTTCAACTTCCAGAATTCCCCAGCCAGCCATGCTGGCTGGGGAATTCTGGGAGTTGAAGTCCACCCATCTTGAAGTTCCCAAAGTTGAGAAACACTGATCTAACCAAATATGGTATGTTCCAGACTGGCTGGGAATTATAGGAGAGAACGTTTGCATGTAAAAGGCTTCAGATTGGGGAAAAAACTACTTGGATGAACATAAGATCTATTTCATTTAACTGGAAAAGCTAAGATTTGAACCTAGGACTTTCTGTCCAACATGTGCTTTACCAGCTTGTTATTATCTATCCTGCAGAGACTGCTTTCTTTTCTTAAGAGGATGTCTTCTGGCAGAGAGACCCCAGTGGTGCTTAGGTTAAGGTACTGCCACTAGAACTTGGGAGGCCCAGATTAAAATCCAGCATCAACCACTAAAACTGACTAGGTGACTTATAGAGTTCTTATAAATTCTTATAGAGTTGTGGTGATGGACCTAAAGTGGGAGGAGGAACCTATGCGTGTTGCCTTGAATTCCTGGCTAAGTAATTATTCTTTCCAATTTCAGCCAAAGTAAGGAGGTCTCCCCCTAGAGGAGAAACAAGAGGCCCTAATTCCAGAGTCACCTTGAGCGCCAGATTCTCCACTTTCATGATGAGATCTTCTTGGCGCTTCCTGCGCTCCTGGGTCTCCTGCAGCTTGCCCTTCAGGTTGTCAATTTGCTTCTGGATTCCAATGGCTGCAAAGAGAGTAAACCACTTGGCCCTCCTGGTAATAAACTGAGGGCTGCCCCACACACTGTGGCATAGTGCCAAGGAACATACAAAATCACCCGCCCCCGGCGTAGCCTCCCTTCCCACCAGCTCCTAACCAATTTGGCTGGTCCCTTCGTTCTCTTGCTGCTGGGAGCTGGATTCACTCAGCTTGCCCTGCAGCCTCCTCTCCAAGTCCTCCTCCGTATCCATGACGTTCAGGTCTTCGTCATCGTGGTGATCCCTCTCGTCTTCATCGCTGCTGCTACTGCTGATTTCGTTAAACATCTCCCGGAGCTCGTCACGTTCTGCTGGTTGGACAGAGAAGGAGAAAGGAGCCAGCCATTCCTCAATGAACCCCATAATGTTTCTCACTGAGGAGTGTGGCTAGTCTGGTCACTGCTCCCCACACCTCTTTGTGCCTGCACTTGTAATTCACCTCCATCAAAATCTCCATCCTGCACCACCCACCACTCGACCCACATTCAGTGCCCATAAATTCTTCTGCCAATGGAAAATCTTTTGATGTACTTTAACACCAATGCTGGAGATAGCTTGGGCTGCAGCTTGGGCTGCAGTTCAACATAGGGCAGAAGCCCCCTTCCTGGAACCTGGTTCGTACATGTAAAGGCAGAGTTAATTTAACAACATGCTAGGCTGCAAATCATGGCTTACACACCATAATGGCTGGATGTACACAGTACATTACACCCAAATCCAAACATCCTATACATGCAAGGAGTGAACACAGTCATGGGTCAGACAGTGGCCAATTTTCATACCAAACGCTGTTTGCTTGCTAAAATGATTTTCAGTCAAGTGATTGACTGAAAATGCAACAACTGGCTGGGTTTGCCCACCATGCTGGAACCCCAAACCATGTTCTTGCAACTACAATGGCCAGCTTTGCACAGCTAGCAGAGCCAAAAAGCAAGCAAATGAACGATGTTTTGGCTTTGGGCATGTAGGAACCAGGTTGACTTTTGTCACCTAGTCTAGATTGTCCACTCAAGAGGAGCCACAGCTCTTCAGGCAGAAAGAGATCTTTCCCATCACCTGTCCAGATCCTTCGGATGAGAGGAAGAAACTGTCCTTTTCTGTGTGGACCCATGCATCCTGCCATGAAGCTGTACCCCTTAGACTAACTGCAATGTGGTTAGGACTACCACTAGCAGACTGCAAAATTCCACCAGATCACAAGGTAGCAACAGAGAGATACAGGAAACACTAACTCTTTGCTCCCATCTAGTGGCTTTGTGAATATTGACAATCTGGCGGAGCGTCCCCAAATGTGATAGTACCTGAAGATCCATGGCCTTGTTTATGTCCAGACATCCCAGGAGAAGAAATATCCAGGCCTGTAAGTAACCCATGGTTCTCAGCTTCCTTCGTTTCATCTTCAGCAATGACCTCCCACCCTGAATTCAGGCACAGACGAATTAAGGAAAAATCAATTTAATGGGGAAGCACATCACCAAGAAATGGAAGGTGCATACATAATATTAGAGAAATACTCTTGCAGTTTTTCCCACCAGTCTTTCAATGTGATGCTCTCCTTTAGAAATTATTTCTTGAAAAGAGAAGTTCAGTCAAATTCTCATGGACAGAGCGTAACACCTCTGACTTTAGTTACAAGGTGGCCGAGTAACGTGTGTGAATATCTCCTTTCCCTTGTAGAATCGTCTTTTTAGCTGTTGATGCCTTTTGTGGCTTTCCATACTTCTATTCAAACTCACTGAAAGTTATAATGAGAAAACATCTCCCGGGGGCTTTTCCAGTGTTGTCTGTGAGAAAATTTCTGCCAGCCTGGGGTGGAAATGTCATCGAATCTTTGAAATTTGGTGAAAGATTTCTAAAGGCCCTTGGTGCCCAGGTCTAGATGGTCTCAGGGTTCTAATAGCAGCCTAGCATGGAAGTGCTGAACCAAACAAGTCTCTCAGACTTTAGTAAGATTTATTAAGAAGACCGTGAAAGTAACAACACAAGAATTCTAATACGTACTCTAGATCAAAATGAGAAACCTACATACAAGCACATTAGGGCAACAAGGTTCTTTTCCCCACATACTTTTTCAGAGGAGGACCCCAGTGTCCTTTCTGAAGGAGAGGTAGACTGCACTTCCTAATCATTTTGGAAAAGACTACAAGATGTCTTATCAATCCGAGTATAGAAATTGTTTCAAACATTCCACGTAAACTGCATTACTTAATACTCTCCCTTCCCCTCCAACCAAACTAAACTTTTCAAGGTTAGCAGAAAGATAAACGTGTGTGCTTCTTTTAATACTGCATCAAACAGACATCGCAATTCCAGCAGCCACGTCAAACTGTGATGATGAAAGAGATCAATGTAATAGTTCATTAGAAGTTTCAAAAAATATGGATGGGATCTGAAAGGGTTTAGGAGGAGAAGTTCAAAAGTGGGGTTATTTAATTCTGGCTTGTCTTCTCTCTACCTCTGCTATGTTAGCTAGCAAGTTTTGAAGGAGGAGGGATAGTCTGAACAGGGAAACGGTACAAACAGATGGAGAAGTGTCCCCCAACCGGCGCATCCTCAAGATAGGTAGTCTTCAACTCCTAGTATCCTCAGCAATGGCCATGGTAGCTGAAGAATTCTGGGAGTTGAAGTTCACACATCTATAGGGCGTCCACGCGCAGGAAGGTTGGATTCAATATTTCCTGTATTGTTTGCAGATCCATTCTCCTCCCACACTTAACTATTTCTAGGTTTCAAAAGAAAAATCAGAAAATCCCTGGCTCGCTGCTCCCCCCATGTCCCATGCAGCCTGATCCCCAACTTCTCTTCAGCTGTTAAGCAAGGAAGCCTAAGAGAATATCAGAGACCCAACATCAATGATACGAAATTCACCCGCACTGGCAGATTCCAGTCCTTGATAAGGCAGAAAAACCTCAAACATTGTAGGAAGCAGCTCTTGCAAAAGAGGACTGGGATGGATTCTATAGCATATTGAGTGAGATGGGCGGTGGCTAAATCAAATAAATAAATAATACCTTCTCCTTGGGATGAAAAAAAAAAGATTAATATCTGGTTGTGAAATGGCTGACTCTCCATAATATAATTGGGAGTGCATGTGCAGAGCTGGGGATCAAGTAAGTTATTCAAATAAAACACAGAGAGATGATGAAAGAATCTCTTTCAGGACAGAGTAGTAGAGAAACTGGTCTTTCAGATACCAGCACAGAGGCCTAAGGAGATGGCTTTGAAGAAAATATTCAGCAGCCGTAACAAAAACATCAGCATAACCTGGGAAAACAGGAAGGGTGAGGAAGAAACTCAAGACTGCTCCACTTTGAGTCGCTTTGGTATAAGAGGGAGGGAAAGAGAAACACTGTCAGGCTTTCGAGATTCTGTTATTATAGGGTTGACGTTAGCTAATCTGCCATTCCAAGCACTACTGGGTGTTGGCCATGCTGGTTGGGGGTCTTGAGGAGTCCAGAAACCTCTGGAGCGCTACAGTTCCCCACTTACTCATTTCAAAGCAAAGCTTATGAAGAAAGGATACGGACACTGACAGCTTCGGCATCTGTGCTCAGAAGGCGTTTCACTTCTTTCTCTACGTCTGGAGATTCAATGTACTGGGCCAAAGAAAGGAAAAGAAAAAGAAACAAAAAATAAAGAGGAGATTATATATTTCCAGTTTGGTTTCTGCCTCAGAATTTTAGGTGGGAAACAAATGCTTATTTCTCTCTTAACTTCCTCTGTGACATTCAAGTGGGCAAGTCTGTGTGGCACATCCACGTAGCCACCAGCCTCACCCTTCATGTTCACTTCAGTACCTTCACACCGCTGTGCAAGTGTTCCTACATAGCACTCTGTCTTCCCACGGTGCAGGCCAGAATGTCCTCCACCTGGCCACCGAAAGGCACAACAACCAGTAGTTTGCTGCTGGTCTACCCCCCCTCCTCCTTTCCTTGTTCCAGCAGCTTTTTGTAATGAGGAACACAAAGTTCTAAAAAAGCAACCAGCTGCAGTGCGGAGGGAGCAGCAAAGCGGCCATTCCGAGTGGCTGGAGAAGATGGGGAGACAGCATTAATGTTCAGTGGCACCTTGGCTGCAAGAGAGAGGGATGAAATCTTAGGAACTTGGAGATGGGACAAAGTAGGTACTCCCACCAAGAGGAAGCTGCCCAGGTCATAGCTCCAGTCTGAGAGTCTGAGAGTCAACTGGCTATCTTCTCAAGTTGCACACAAGCCCCAAGATGATGTGCGGGACTGTGCTCAGCTCCCATGTGTGGAAAGTGTCTCAACAGAAGGGTAACCATCAGCCCTTTCAAGTGTTTTCCTCATTCTCTAAGCAGAAGTTTTAAAACTTCCCAAGAGCATTCAGAACAGACTTCCCAGAACAATGTAAAAATAAACTAAGGTACTGTCTGTCCTTCGCTCAAATTTCCAAATGCATGTTCTGTTTTGGCCCTGGCTTTTATAAGCAACAGTTCCACAAGGCTCAGCTATGTAACTCACCTTCTTCTTGGCGGTCTTTCGGAACCTCCTCTTCCTCACGTTCTTCAATGGGAGCGTAACTGCAAGAAGGCAACCAATTAATTTGCAAAGCGAAATGGAGCAGGAGGGTACAGCCAACAGCTCTTTTGGGGCGGCAGAAGAGATGCTAGATTCTGAACCACAGATAGGAAGGTCAGTGGGTCTCATCATCCTTCACAATGCATGGTAGCGGCATGGAGGTAGGGACGATGCTTAGATAAGGCTCACTAGTGAGGGTGAAGTGGCCAGTGGCCCACTACTCACTGCCATGATTCCAGATAAACTTCTTCTCCCGATCCTTATCCTTCTTCTTGTTGGCTCTAGCATCAGTACTCACAGCTGGTTCCTCCAAAGCAGGGTAGAGTTCTCCATCCACGGTGCACACAAGCATCTGAACTCCGCAACATAATAAAAAGGTAATTGACTGTTATATGTGAAAACATGGGAGAGGAATCAGAATGCATAAAAGCCCAAGGAAAGTACTGTTAGATCAAACTAAAAGCTTTCTTAGTTCAGTCTTCTGTTGTCAGTGGTCAGTCAACCAGTTATCAGTGAGAAGTTCACAAGGGGAATGTGAACACAAAGCACCCCTTGCTATTGTTCAGCATCTAAGATCGATTGTGACACCTGAATCTTCGTAACTCGTTGGCACTGCCTGTTTTATCCACCCTCAGTTTGTCTAATCCCCTTTTCAAGGCTTCCAAGCTTCTATCCATCCAGAGCTAATCAGGTTTCCAGCTCCAGGATGACCATTCATTAGAAATCCTGCCCCCTCAAAGAACAGTTCAATGTTTGAAATCAACTATAATTCATAACTATTTGTGGCATTGAAAAAAAAAAAGTTTAAGAGGGGAGCTGAAAATGAAGGTATGCTGACAAAAATGAAAAGCAAAAACATCTTGCACAAGGAAGGCTCATCTTTCTGGTATTTGGAAGACATCTACCTGGCAAATGTCAGCAGTCTTATAGAACGTTTTCTTATCAATGGTTTTCAAGCTTTCCATGATGCAGGGCAAGTCCACCAACTTGGCAGCTAAGGGGACACGGTCCACTCGCACAATTCCATGACGGCCATCCGCTGCAGGAGCAGGGAAATGGGAGAATTTCTATGTGGCATTGATGAAACATTCAGAAGTCGAGCATTTCATTAGCAATTGGGAACACACAAAGTTATGGGCTCAAGCCATCAAGTGGCTTCCATGTACAGGTGAACCAGGGTCTAAAAGCGGAAAAATGTTTTGGGTGATGGGAAAGGCCTCATTTATAAAATGCTTTTCTAATCATTTTTTTTCTCCATGGCTTAGATACGGCAGTGAAATAAGAAGCTAAACAACATTCTGATGCTTTTTCCGTTTCTGTACTGACACTCAATAAATTTGTCCTCAAAAGCCTAGGCGTATGATGAACTACTCAAGGCCAATGAGCTACAATGGCAACAGCTGGGAAATCAGTACAGTATTGTATTTTTGATATGGTCCAAGACCAGTACAAAAATAAATTAAAACAACCCAATACAATCCAAAATATAATAGCATTGTAACCATTTAATATATGGGGAGCCTTTTATTGACCACTCTGGATATAATATAACTCTGTGGCGAAGGCACAAAACTTGGCCATTAAAAATATGATTTCAACTTGTCATTTAAGAAAACTTCTAGATAACATTGATCCAGTCAGTTAAGAAATAAATATCAGTAGCATAGTACTAAAAGAGCTGCAGAAAGAAGGGAGAACATTTACTAATGATATACTAGAAACCCCCAAGTTACCTCCTGGACATTTTTAGATTCCTTGTTCACTCACCTGTCCTTTATTCTTTTATATTACCTGAGTTTTATTTTCTATTTGTGTTGGCTTATAGACTTTCTCTGAAAAAGTTAAATGAAAAAAAGAAATTAAAAGCTGCTGATGTTGTCCTCTTACCATGCAATTCAATCGTGAGTCTGTCCTTCAAGTTGACACTCCCAGATTGAACAGCCCTCCGCACTGTAGAAGCGTATTCCTAAGCAGAGAGGCAATGGGAATGAGGATCAAGAGAAAGTTGGCCCATTCTAGACGTAAGCATGGGTCACAGCAAACGGCAGGCGATGTTAGCATTGACTCAGAAGGTGCACTTACCGGAGGCAGCCGCAAAATAAACTGGCTCTCTAATTCATGGGGGATATTGTCCTTGTTCTTGGTCATCTTCACTTCTTGGAGGTTCAGAAGACAAGAAAAGACACAGTTACTCAATGGCTTAGCGAGAGCTTTTCCTGAGCACTGCTATACAACTTGCCGTGCTGCTAAGAAACACTCAACAGCGGTGCGTACAAACGGGCTCTGTCCAGAAGCACCTTATTGGAGGGAGTCAAGGCATTTCCACCCATGGGCTGAAGCACAATCTCAGCCTTAAGGGCCAGAGACGCATCTGAAGCCATTAAACTTGAAAGCAGAACTGTTTCCTCGGCTAATCACACCACGCTGCCTGCTTCCATTATTTAACTAAAGAAGACAACATTGCTTCTACTCAAACACAGAACACATGAAAGTTCTGATCGCATCAAAAAAAAGGAGAGGTTTGCATCTGCTCCTCTCTTCCTCTCCCTGCCCATCTTAAACCAAAAACAAAGAAGCACCCTTAGCTCTTTCAAATAAGGTGCCACTGGGAGCCCAGAAATACAGATTTGGAGGATTGAGAAGAACACAGCATAACTCGATGGTTTGAAGCATGAAAATGCAGACATTGGGGAAAAGATCCTGCCACGGCCAGAGCACGTAAGGAAGAAAAGATAGCGATCCGCTCCCATTAAAGTAGTACTGGAACAGGAACGATTCGATCTATGTCCATAAAAGCTGGCAAAGCACAGCAATCACACCCTCAGGAGTCTGCGGTTCTCCTGGGAATCATTTCAGAAAAGCAGAGTAGTCTTTGCGCCGAAATCAGCACATCTTCTAGAGAGAGCTACAGACCCGCACCAGAGAAACGTAAAACAAATGCATTACTTGCAGACGCCATTCCTCCTCTTCTTGCTCCACGCAAACGTTTATAAAAACTTGTATCATTCAAAAATACTAAACATAAATGCAAAAAAAAAAAGAGTTAAAAAACCAAAAGCTATCTGCTGATCAAAGTATTGCTATTCAAGAGGGATTAAATACATCATACGGTCATTCCTCTGTCCCTGAAATGAGACGTTATTTCTATAATAAAAAGTATATGGGACGATTCCTTGAACCTGTCTCCTTTAGAACTTCTTTAAAAAAATACTACCCACAAATCAGGAGATTCTCAACTATGCAGCATTTATCCATCAGCAGCAAAAGTTAAGATGCACAATCCAAAATGCTATTTTTTAATCGATCAAGAACTAGTTTGGGACAGGAACATCTGAAGGTTTTATTTCCAGACGAGCCTCCTAATATATTGCCCCTGAGAGCCCTGCTATACATCCCAGCTTCTAAGAAGGGTCAATGCGAGGTTCCTTAAAAAACGGGGTTTGGGGTAGCAGCACCCTGAACACAGAGTTCCCTCTCAAAGGGTGTCTCATTAATTTGCTTCTGAGATATACTCTGTCCCATTAAACCTTCACTTCAGTGCTGTTTAATACCACGTATTGCTGTTCCTCTGCACATCAGCAGCAATGTCACTTTTTTCCTGCTTTTGCAATATGAAGTTTTTTATTCTCTTTTTTTGTTGTATATTCTGCCCCATACACAGGAAGTAAAGGCGTGAAATGTATAGACCGATATCTATAAAGAAAAGGAAGCTGCTTTCAAAATACTCAAAATTCACGGTTCATTATCGAAGGGACAGAAACCACAGAAGCACGTTTAGATTCTATTTAGTATGGGTGCACGGCATTTTCGTTCCAATTCCAAAAAGATGCCTTGGAGGAAGGGAAGGCATGAATGTAGCTCGTGTCCGCAGCTCTTTAAAGCAGCTGCGTCTTTCCCCAGAATCACAGGCTAAGCCCAGGAAAATATAGCAAGAGGTGTGGGCTACATTCACAGTCCGGTTCATACGCTCAGCAACTTTAGGACAGGTGGACCTCAACTCCCAGAATGCCCCAGGGAGGAGCGTTTCTCAGCCACTTTAGGACAGGTGGACTTCAACTCCCAGAATGCCCCAGCCAGCATGGTTTCTCAGCCACTTT